TCCCTTTATTCTCTTGACATTGTCTTTCATAGAGGAAATTTTTAATTTTAATGAATTCTAGCTTATCAATTATTTATTTCATGGTATTGTATCTAAAAAGTTATTGATAAACTCAAAGTCACCTAGATTTACTTCTATGTTATCTCTTAGGAGTTTTATACCTTTCTGTTTTACACTTAGATGCATTTTGAGTTAATTTTTGGTGAAAGGTTTAACATCTGTGTCTAGATTCTTTTTTTTCTTTTGCACGTGGATGTCTAGTTCTTCCAGTACCATTTGTTGAAAAGATTATCTTTGTTCCACTGTATTGCTTTGTTCCTCTGTCAAAGACCAATTGCATGCACTTATGGGGGTATATTTCTGGGCTTTCTATTCTGCTCCATGATCTATTTGTTTATTCTTTCACCAATATTATACTGCCTTGGTTTCTGTAGCTTTGTGGTACATCTTGAATTTGGGTAGTTTGAGTCCTCCTTTGTTCTTCTTTTTCAATATTGTGTTGGCTATTCTGTTTTTTGTTTTGTTTTTTGCTTCTCCATATAAACTTTAGAATAAGTTTATCAATCGTTATCCACATAATAACTTTCTAGAATTTTGATTGGGATTGCATTGAATCTATAGATTAAGTTAGGAATAACTGATATTTTGACAATATTGAGTCTTCCTATCCATGAAAATGGAATATCTCTCAATTAAACTTAAAGGTATTAGTCTGAACTAGACTGTAGTAAATTAAGATGTTAATTGTAATTTGCAAGACAACCATTAACAAAATTACTAAAAATCTATCCTAAAAGAAATAATAAGAATTTTAATTAATTATACACAAGAAAATAACTAACACAAAAGAATATGATAATAATAGAATAGAGAAATAAAACAGACAAGACATAGAGAAAACAAAAGTAAAATGGTAGCTGTAATTTCTATTTTATCAGTGATTACATTCAAGTAAATGGATTAAATTCTTCAATAAAATGACAGAAATTGGCAAAATTGGTTTAAAAATATGATCTAAATATGTATTGACAAACTCTCAACAAAATAGGTATAGAAGAAAATTACTTCAACATAATAAAGGCCATATATGAAAACACACATCTAGCATCATAATAAATGGGGAAAAACTGAAAGCTTTCCCTCTAAGATCTGTCATAAGGCATGGATATTCATTCTTGATACTTTTATTCAATATAGTATTGAAAGTCTTAGCCAGAGCAATTAGACAAAAAAAAAAAAAAAGAAAGAAAGAAAATGCATCCAAATAAGAAAAGAAGAAGTAAAACTATATTTGTTTTCAGATGACATGGTCATATATGTAGAAAATCCTAGACTCAACAAGAACAACAAATTGTTAGAACTAATAAACAAATTCACTAAAGTTTCAGGATACAAAAATCAAGATATAAAAATCAGTCATGTATCTATACTAAAACAATCTATCCAAAAAGGAAATTAAGAAAACAATCTCATTTACAATAGCAATCAACAAAAAACTATGAGACCTAGTAAATATGTTGCAAGGTTACAGGTATCAAGATCACTGTACAAAATCAATTGTATTTCTATACACTAGCAATGAAAATCTGAAAATAAAATGAGAGAATAATTCCGTTTGTAATAATGTTAAGAAGAATAAAATACTTAGAAATAATTTTTAAAATATGTGCAAGACTTACATACTGAAAACTGCAAAACATCACTGAAAGTAATTTTGAAAACTCTGATAAATTGTTCATGGATTGGAAAACTAATATTAAGATGGCAATACGCTACAAACTTCAATGTAATCCTTATCAAAATCCTCCCTGTGTTTTTGCAGGAATTGAGAAGCTGATCCTAAAATTCATATGAAAGTATAAGAGGCCCACAACAACCAAAGTAATTGAAAAAGCATAATAAGTTGCAGAACTCAAATTCTGGATTTCACAACTTATTACAAAACTACAATAATGGTAAGGCAATGTGGTACTAGCATAAATAGACATATAGATCAATGGCATGGAATTTAGAGTCCAGAAATAAACCCATACTTTTATGGTCAATTTATTTTTTGTTTTACAAATATGCCAAGGGAATTCAGTGAGGGAAAGAGTAGTCTTTCAACAAACAGTGCTGAGGAAACTGGATATCCACACGCAAAATAATGAAGTTTGACTGTTATCTCACATCATCTACAAAAATTAACTCAAAAATTGCAAAGCAATTAAAAGGCCTTACTGTAACAGCTAAACTATAAAAATTTTAGATGGAAGCCTAAATATTGATCTTAATGACTTTGTAATATGTAATGGTTTGTCAGCCATGACACCAAAAGCACAATCAACAGCAATAACAAAAACAAATGGATAAATTCTAGTTTGTCAAAATTGAAAACGTTTGTACTCCAAGAATACCATCAATAAAGTGAAAAGGACATTGTACAGGATTAAGGAAAATACTATGAAATAACATATCTGATAAGGGACTCGTATCGAGAATATATGAAGAAAATTTACAATTCAATAATGAAAACACAAATAATCCAATTAAAATAGGCCAAGGGTTTGAGTCATTATTTTCTGAAGAACATATACAAATGGCCAGTAAGCACATGAAAAAATGTTCAGCATCATTGGTCATTAGGGACGTCCAAATCAAAATGGTAATAAGACTTCACACCTACTAGAATGGCTGTAATAAAAATATGGGCAATAATATACACTGACAAGGGTGAAGAAATTGGAATCCTATATACATCTAGTGAGAATGTAAAATGTCAAATTCACTTTTGAAACCAGTTTTACAGTTGTTCAAAATTTAACATAGATTTATCATATGACCCAGCAATTCCACTCCTAGGCTTATAGTCAAGATGATTGAAAACATATATACACAAAAAAATTTATACATGAGAATGTTCATAGCACTGTTAGTCATAATATCCCAGAACTGGGAAAACCCAAATGTCTATCAACTGATGAATGAATCAAAAATTAGTAAAGTACTGATACATGATACAACTTGGGTAAATTTTGAAAAAGTTATGCTGTGTGAAAGAAGCCAGTAACAAAACTACACATATACCATGATTCAATATATATGAAATGGCTAGAATAGGCAAATCTATAGATTAGTGGCTGGAGGGATGGAAAAATGGAGAGTGACTGCTTTGGTAGGTAATGAAAATGCTCTAAAATTAGATAGTGATGATAGTTGCATAACCCTGTCAGTGTATTTTATATTTAATGCTACTGAAATGGAGAGGTTAAAAATAAAAAAATTAAAACACAGACACTGGGTCATGCCATAGAACTTTGGGACCTTTTAAACTCATTTGCTCATTTTGGGGAAAATATCCAATATGTGGTCATCCATTCAGAAATGAGCATTACACTGTGTAATTTTCATGATGTTATATCTATTTCAAAGCTATTTAAGCAACTATGAAAAATTGTAAGTCTGTCCTTAATTGGCAAACTGGAAAATCTTTACTCCAATTGGTCTTCAGAAAGTAGAGGCTTAATTTTTACATCTTATCTAGGTTGTGAGGGGGAAAAAAAGATAAATATAATAACTTAAAGGAAATATATTAAATTTACTTCTCCAAACTTGTATTTTAAGGAATCAAATCAAATTATCAGAGAGATGTATATTTAGAACACATTATTTTGCCTTGTTGTATAATTACTTTAATGAAATTGCCCTTCAACATAATGTTATCAGCCTGCATTGAGGTGTATCATCAAGAGTCCTATAAAACTAGCTACTTACTGTACTTTACTGCCAGAATGCTTTTGAAGACGTTGTTTTCTATATTTTCCAATTTTATAAAGACCCACAACACAAATTTCTCTCTGAATTTGATACCAAGAAAACTTTCTCATGAAAATTTTCTTTCATAATACTCTTGTGAACACTATGACTTCTGAACGCTATGACTCTTGTCACTGTATTTGCCTTTTTGCTTTTGCTACTGTGTGGGACTGAGCCAAATTTGTGGGTCGTTTCTTACCACAGTACACAGACTGTTACATAAACTTTGCACATTAAATTTATTCATAACTTTATACGTATCTTGTATTATGTTTAGCTTTATGATCTACCTCAAATTGTTCTTTTCTAATGATAGAATAATAGTTCACTGGACAGATTTAGATAGAGAAAGATAGACAGACAGATCCTGGTCCTGGCCACAGAAAGATTCATCATGCCAACCACAAACTTACTATAAATTCATAAAAAACATTTCATAAATGCATGCTGTTGCCAAAAAAGTGAGAATTAGGGGCTATGACTGGCTCAGTGTAACACAACTACATGATACCTACAGTCATCACTCATATATTATACCCTATTAATCAGTGATTAAAAAATGGGTTCTGATGTGCGGAATGTTAATCTCTGTTATTGTGGGTCTGATTTTCATTACTATTATGAGCTTGAAATATGAAAGCAACTTAAATTGCCCAGAGCTGTCAAGTGACACGAGGATTTAAGAACATTTATCAACTCATTTCAGCTACATTAATATTTTTATTTGAAATATCCAGTTAAATAGAAAATTTGAAAGCAATTGTTTGCTTCAGTTATTTGTGTCATTGTACTGTAAGTTGCTGTAAAAATTCTGGTTGTCTCTTCAAGACATTAAAAGAATAAGTCACACTATGCCCAGTAAGTTGTTTGATCCTTCTGGAAACGAATGGATTGACTGATTGATTGATTAAATTTTCTACTTTTTATTAAAGTGTTTGATGTCATGGCAACCTAGGCTTTGTCTCTTGCTTAAGAAGGAAGCAGATCATGACGTTTTTATTAGATGTCTTAAAGAATGACAGCCTGGACAAATTTTCCCTTGACATGGAGAAGTGTAATAATACACCCAGATGGCTGAGGTTGTGGTGCTTGCATCATTGGTGAAACTGGTGATCAAGTAACTGCGATCCTTTGTTATATGAAGAGTTCCAGGAAGACAACTTTTTACCCCAAGTGGTCTTAAGAATGACCATGCAGTATTTAACTTTCCTTGGCATGCTCAAGATATGGTCCACAGCATGAAATATCTAGATCAAAAGAGAAAAACCTCAAACATCTAAAAATATGATTTACACATCCATTTTTAAAGTAAAAATTGTTTATATTTAAAGTGATGTTTTGATACACATATACACAGTGAAATGATTACTATAGTTATGCTAAATAACATTTCCATCTCCTACCATTTTTTACATGTGTGGTGAGAATACCTAGAATCTACTTTCTTAGGAAATTTCCAGTATTCACTACAATGTATTAATTATAGTCATCATACTGTACAGTACATTTCTAGACTTACTCATCCTACATAACTACAACTTTATACCCTTTGACTAACATCTCTGCATTCCCCTCACCTCCTTGCCACTGGTAACTACCATTCTCCTCTCTGCTTCTGCATATTTGATTTGTATAGGTTCCATATATAAGTAAGATCATGCAGCATCTTTCTGTATCTTTCTAATTCCACTTAGCATAACATTCTTCAGGGTCATCCATGCTGTTGTAGATGGCAGGATATCCTTTTTAAAGGATGAATAATATTCCACTGTTTTGTTAATTGGAAATTTATGAATGGTGGATTGAATTTTGCATTAAGATATCTATCATTGTGTAAGTATTGCCAGTATGATGACTTGTTCCCTTCACAATCTATGCTGGAACCACACAAAAATGAGAATATATAACTACTCTTTGTGAACACTGGGTCATGCTTGACTGGCCTTAACAAGATGGAGTTGACTGGTATATTTGATTTATGAGTGGAGCAGAATGGTAAGAAGGTCAATTGCTTGATGGAAATCCTAGTTTTTTACCCTAAAATCTGTTCACAAGTGTAATCTTCCCTATCTCCAAAAATGGAAACTTCATGAAATTGGTTATTCAGGCCAGAAAATTGGGAGTCACCTTTGTATCCTCCTTTCCCTTTACCCTTTATTTGAAATTCATTAGCAAATACTGTGTATTCCATCTATAAAATTTGTCTTGTATACAGATTTGTCTCTTCATGTACCTTTCTCACACTATCATGTATTTACTGAAACTCTGTGCAGCTCTAATTTTTCTCTTCCCTTCTCTTTGAATCTATTTCCCACTCTTCAACAAGAGCAATCTTAAAAAAACCCATAAATCAGAATATTTCACTGTTATGCTTATATCATAACAGTGGATTCTCACTGAACTATGGAAAACATGCTGAAGTATAAACATGGTAAGAAGGTCTATGTTTAAGGAGAGAAGGACTCCTGACTCATCTATTCTGGATATCCATCTTGGGTGGTGATTTGATGGTTCATGATGCCAGATGGTGCAAATAAGTAATCTTTAGAATGTTGATCTTGAATGTATGAGGATGAGATTGCACTGAGATAGCCACAGTATCTTACTGGATTCTTCTTTGGAACAGAGAGGAAGAGGGCCTGAATCAGGAGCTGAGATTGCAACCAGCCCAGTGGTCAGATCAAAGTCTTCTGAATTCATGCAAGGAGGCAAATTGCCACCTGGGCCAATTTCACTCAAGAGCCAAGCTGGCTGAGAGATCTGACTACTGCCAATGAGCTCTGATTAGTGTGGGTGGAGCTACAGGTGTCTTCTCTTTCTCTGTGGTGGCAGGCAAATGGGGAAAGAACAGTGACTAAGCAGATTCAAACAGTAAAGTTTCATAGGGGAGCCCACTGGACCTCTCCAGGAGTAGAGCACTGATAAGGCCTATGGCAATCTGGCCCAAGTGTGTCCTGGTCATTGGCAAAATAGGTGGGTTTTGCCTTAAGAGTTCATTTTCGTCTCTGAAGTTTCCTCTTCCTATGGCCAGGGGATGTAAGTGGCAATGACTCAGTGCTATCTAATTACCTCTGCCCTTGGTGACCCTACATCTCAAGGGGTGAGGACTCAAGGACCAGCCTCCCACCCCCAGGTCGGGGAAGATCATTCACTAGCATCATTCAAAGGAAGATGAAACCATTTTAATAGGGTACTCTCATCTCTAGGTTAGTGTGGAAACTGTGACAGGAAGCAAAATAATTGCATTTTCTCCCCAAGCCACTGAAAATAATTTTTACTTTAATGATGAAAACAGGACTCTTTACATCTCTGCATGTTTTACATTGCAGGCTGTAATGAGCGACAAAATGTCTTTCTTTTAATAGCTAATCCTCTGATGTTTCGTGCTTGGCAAGGTAAGTTGGTGTGGCAAATTATTGTTGCTTAAGAAACTTATTTTTCTGAATGTTTGATACATAATTATATTGCTTTGAACTAAGCCTTTCCTCTGATTCTTCACACCACAGTTCTCTTTCTTCCATATCTATTTTTTATTTTCAAGTTATCTTCTTTCCTTCTTTTGAAAAGCTTTTTAAGTCCCTCTTATCTTTCAGGCAAAGTTCCAGATGACTTGGGAGAGAGTTAATGTTCTTGTGGACCTTCAGGGTCTAACATGTAAGGAGGGAAGCAAGAGAGGGTATTCACATTTACTAAGTATGTACAATGTGCCAGGCACTTTATATCCAGTATTCTATGTGATCCTTGGGACAAATCACAAAGATAAGTATTATTAACTGCATTTTTCACATGAAGAAATTTGAGGACTAAGTAAGTAAACTGACTTACCCATTATCATTCAGCTAAGAATTGAAAAGAGCTGAGACTCAAAGCCAGATCTATTCGATTCTGTGTTCATTGATATACTCTCTAAAATTATACTAAATTACTAAAAAAATCTCTCCTCCACCATAACATCCAATAGGCATTTCATTCTTTGCTGGCTCGGAGTGTAAGGCATCGTAGGCTAAACACTATCTACTTTGGCCTTTTCTGGCCTTAAGACATGACTCTTTAGATTAAAGACACTCTCCATTCTCTATGCAAAACATTCTGGTCAATGGCCATGCCCTGATGAATACTAATAATGACTAAACTACTCTCTATACTGCCCACTCTATAACTACCCACACAGTTATGATACTTTCCCACCAATTCTGTCTTAAAAGAGTAAGTTGTGTTTTTCCAAAATATGTTTGTATTATAAACAAGTTGTATGTATTTTTATAATTTTATATATATTTTATTTAATTTAGCATAATTTAGTATAACTTTAGTTAAATTTAATAAAAGTATATGAACCAACACAATATGAAGGCAAAAGAAGGTTGTTTCTGCAAAAACTAAGTTACATGCATTGAAAAGATTAAATAAAGGCAAATCACTAAAAATATTGTTGTTGAATTAAATGTAAAAGATTGGAGACAAAACTAAAAGCTATTCCAGAAGGATTATGCACTTAGCTTGCTTTGCAAGTGTCTTTAAGTTCTTGTTTCAATTTAAAGTAACTGAAACTGGAAGTCAAAGATGATGCATGAAAGGTGGGGTTAAAAAAGCAAAAACCAAATGGGATTTACATCAAACTAAAAAACTTCTGCACAGTAAATGAAATAAAACAAAAAGACAACCTACTGAGTGGGAGAAGATATTTGCAAATGATATATCCAATAAGGGGTGGATATACAAAATATGCAAGGAACTCATACAACTCAACAACAACAAAAAACAAACAACCTGATTAAAAAATGTGCAGAGTAGCTGAACAGACATTTTTCCAAAGAAGACATATAGATGGCTAACAGACACATGATAAGATGCTCAACATCACTAATAACTAGGGAATTGCAAATCAAAACTGCAATAAGATATCACTTCACATCTGTCAGAATGGCTATTATCAAAAAGACTAGAAATAAGTATAGGTGACGATGTGGGAAAAAAGGAATCCTCATATACTGTTGGTGGGAATGCAAACTGGTGCAATCACTATGGAAGATACTATAAAGATTTCTCAAACAAATTAAGAATAGAATTACTATTTGACTCAGGTATCCCACTTCTGGTTATTTATGTAAAGAATATGAAAACACTAATTTGAAAAGAAATAGCCAAGATGTGGAAACAACCTGTATCCACTGATGGATGAATGGATAAAGGAGATGTGATTTATATACACAGTGGACTACTACTCAGCGTAAAGAAAGATGAAATCATGCTTTTTGCAACAACATGGATGGATATGGATGGTATTACGCTAAATGAAATGAATTAGATGAAGAAAGACAAATACTGTATGATTTCATGCATATGTGAATTATAAAAAGCTAATAAACAAACAGAAAATAAATGAACAAACCAAACCAAACAAAAACAAACAGATACAGAGAACATAGTGATGGTTACCAGATGAGGAAGAGTGGGGAGGTGAGAGAGAAATAGCTACAGGGGATTAGCTGTGTGCTTATGGATGGAAACAAAATTTTGGTTGTGAGCATGTTGTAGGGTATACAGAAATATGAAATATAATGTACACATGATACATATAATGTTATAAATCAATGTTACCTTAATAAAAATTAAACTATATTATTTACTATGATGGAAAATTATAATCAGCCTAAATGACTTACAACAGGGGAATGGTTAAATAAATCATGATATAGCCATAGAATGGAATATTATAAATTTTTGCTTATTATATACATTTATAATTTTTAGTGATGAAAATGGAAGACGCAATCTTGTCATTTTTTCACAAGGAGTTACTTAGCACCTACTTTGCGCTTGGCACTGCTTTAGGGATTTGGGATACATCATTGAATGAAACTGACTAGAGTCTGCCTTCTTGGAGCTTACACTGAGAAAGTGAGAAAGAGACATGAAATAAACAATAAAAATAATAAATAAGACTGGTTTTTAATAGGCTAAAGGTGATGTGTTGAAGAGAACAAAAGTAGAGTAGGGTAGGGGAGCCAGAAGTTCTACAGGGTGGAGTGATGGCAGGTTGCAAGGCTAAACAGCGCACAAAGACTTGAAAGTATAAGGCTTAGCCAAGTTGATATCAAGAAGACTACATCTATGAGCCATAATGAAAAAGAAACTGAAAAAAATATGTATGTATGTATATGTATGACTGAATTGCTTTGCTGTACTCCTGAAACTAACACTGTAAATTGACTA